ACTTGGAACAGCTTATATCCTCCGAAGTTACCTTAACAGTTCCTGGGTCCTTGGTTAGGGACCCGAGCTGTTAAATCTCACCATTAAGATTAACAAAAATAATAATGCAGCCTTCCTACAAAAGAAGAGAAGCATTTTTGCAAATCAATAGTGAGTTGCAAAATTTGCAACTTTCCCCTTGCAATTTCAGCCACATTGCTCCTACCTGGCCCCAAGGGTGCCCGCACTACAACTCCCATCGTCCGCAGCCGAGGGCTCTCTGTTGAGGCGGGAGGAGGTGGAGGGTGCCATAAGCTTCCTCGCGAGTAAGGGCCGCTTATGCGCTGGAAGGGGGGGCACTTTTGTGGGGGGAGAGGTCCCCACTGACACACACACCAAGATTCACACACAGAGAGACACACACAGAGAAAGATACACACAGAGAGACATAGATACAGACACATAGACACGATATGAGACTAGAGCCAATCAGAGAGAGAGAAAACAATGCTCTGAGCCAATGAGGAAACAGTGCGATCGCCGTCAATTGGCGGGAAAAGGCGGGAACAAAGGGGGTTCACTCGCTATGGTTTATGAATGACTAATGAATGGGAGGGCCTCGGTTTTTTTCTATTCCTCCAATGGCAGGTCGTGTTGACCCGAGGAACGAGAAACAAACGTGGCTAAGAGGCTTGTGATTGGCTCCTAAGGGGGGAAAAAGGGGCAGGGCTTCCCTTAGCTTTCCCTCAATGACAGAAACCGCCGCCTCCGGAGGGCAAGTGACAGTGAGAGCGCGCGGAAAAAGCAGAGGTTTTCATAGGTCGGGAAATAAACATTGGGCGGTGCATGGGTTTTCCTTCCCAACCAATGGCAGGAGGAGGAGGAGAAAGCGCGCGCGAGGAAAGGACGAAGCAGGGATTAAAGGCGGGGCTTCTTCTTTCCAACCAATAGCAGGCTCAATCGCCGGGGTGGGCGGTGCCGAGGCGGCCATCGGGGGGATTTCTCCTCAGGCGACGGCGGGAAGGATTTGGAGCCTTCATTTCGCGGCTGGGTTTTCCTTTTTCCCTTCGTGATGGAGGCCGCCGAGGTCGAATTCCTGGCGGAGAGAGAGATGGTCACCATCATCCCCAACTTCAGCCTGGACAGGATTTACCTCATCGGGGTGAGGCCTCGAGGGACTACAACTCCCATGCTCCTTGCCGGTGGCGGGGGTGGTGGTGATGGTTATGGAACTGAAGTCCCGAAACGAGATGTCCCTGGTTGTCTGGAGGAGGGGTGGTTACGCTTCATCTCCCATCGGCCCAAGTGCGGCTGGTGGCTGAGGATTATGGGGGTTGTAGTTGCCTGCAACTTTAAAACAGGGATGGACGCTGGTAGGGGATTATGGGGTTTACGGTGAAGGTCCTCAACTGCTCTCATCAGACCTGGCGAGATTATGTGTTGGCAAGGGATTATGGTTGTTGATTTTTATTTATAATGTTGTTGATTTTATGGGATTTGTAGTCCCTCAACGTTTATTCCAAAGGATCACTTTTGTTTGGGGGGGGGGAAAGGTTTCCATTCCCATCATCCCCAACCTTCATGACTGGAATGGGGAAGTTATGGGATTTGTGATTAAAGAGTCCCATCATCCCCAACCTTCATGACTGGAATGGGGAAGTTATGGGATTTGTGATTAAAGAGTCCCATCATCCCCAACCTTCATGACTGGAATGGGGAAGTTATGGGATTTGTGATTAAAGAGACCCATCATCCCCAACCTTCATGACTGGAATGGGGAAGTTATGGGATTTGTGATTAAAGAGTCCCATCGTCCCCAACCGGGGTGCTTTGACAAGGAATTATGGGATTGGCAGTCTCCCAAGATACTTCCATCAGTGCCTGTGGGGAGGGGGATTTCCATCCCCATCATCCCCAGCCAGCCAGCCTGAGCAGCTTCCTTGGGCAAATCTTTTGAAATAAACAGAGATTTGGAGGGTCCCATCTTTTTCTGGGAGGAGGAGGGGGGGGTGTCTCAGGAAGTGTCCGGGCAGGTGGGCCATTTGGGGAGTGGGGGTCTCTGGCTGAGTTTCTCCCTCTCTTCTTGCAGGGCGAGCTGGGCCCCTTTAACCCGGGGCTGCCGGTGGAGGTGCCTCTCTGGCTGGCCCTCAACCTGAAACAGAGGCAGAAGTGCCGGCTGGTACCCCCCGACTGGATGGATGTGG